AGTAGTAGTAGTAGTAGTAGTAGTAATTGCTTATTCAAGATCCTTGAAGTCCCAAAGAAATGACACTTTTGCCACATCTAAGAAACTAATGATGACAGAGACATAAAACTGGCACCAAATGATCCACAATCTCCATATTTATATTCAACTTCCATTGATACTTTAAGGCTAAATTAATATTTTTTGATGTTATTAAAGAAAAACAGATTTTTCAGCTCAGGTTTAAGGCTTCTGCAGACACTTCAGAGGCTTGGTGGACCCAGTACACATCAATAGAATTTCATGAAATTTCTCATGGAATTTTACTTCGGCAAGTGTAAAAAAATTATACTAGATACAGATGGATTTTCAAAAAATTTCAAAAATGTGGGCAAATGCTGCTTCCTAATGTACAATGGTAAAAGACATTTAATTCATAAATTTTACTTATTCATCATAATAGGTCTAATTCAGAAATCCTGATAGGCTCTCTATGTATATGTTATTATAGTTATTATTGATAATGATGGTAATAATAATAAAAAATAATAACACTGATATAATACAATATAATAAAAATATAAAAATAATTATACAAACGATAAATAATAATACATTATTGGTAACAATAATAATGGAAACATTAACGGTAATGATAATGTGTTATGTTTTTTGTTTATGTATTTATTTTCTTTATTATATTAGTGTGCACATTTGTGTGTATTGTGTTTACATTTTTTTTTTTTTGCCTGCACCATGTCCTGTTTTGTCTTCCTCCAATCGACTGCTATTGGTTGATGTGTTTTACTTGAAGGCCACGCCCATCTACTGTTTTAATGAAGCCCTGATGAAGACCAGTGAAGGTCGAAACATGTCGGCTTTGGCCATTCAAATAAAGGCCTTTTCACTATATTTTTCCTCATGCGATTTTTTTTACTTCTTCTACTTGTTTGGAGTGACTGGAATCCGTAGTGTTTAATTCAGAAATCCCTTGGCGAGCGACTTGGAAGGGGCTACAGGTTGGAGATCCCTGTATTAGTGGAGTTGTCATACTGATATATTTGTTGGTAACCTTTCACTCGTCTAGAACCACTTTAAATCTCAATTTCTCAACACTTGCGTGACTTCTTTAACTGCTTGTATACTTTAGCACATGACTCATAAATCCGTATACAGTATAACCCCGTGGCTCATTGTAATTGACTTGTGTGGGGTTACGCGGTGCATATGGGGCTGTACATCACGGGGCTCCTCTAGTGAAAGTTCATGGCTGTGTTTGCCGCGTTATGGTCGTAATAAATGTGATGGAGCGGTTGCCGTGGAGAGCTGTTGTCCGCGGCGACGGAAGGTTCCATTGTCATTTGAAACGTAATGAAAAGAGAGGAGGCCTGACCTTGATGAAGAGATGCCGCTGTTGTATTTGATGTTTGTCTATAATGGGAGGCAACTTAAGTAAAAATAGAAAGCGCAGAAGGAGCGGACGGACAATGGACCCTGTTTATAGATGCATTGACTCTGTGTGTGACTTTATTTAAAGCCACAATGTGTCACTTACAGCCCACAAAATAGACTCAAATAAAAGCACGTTGTGGTTATTTGCTTGCTTTTTTTATTACGACAATTATTACAATTAACCTGCAGTGTCAAGGTGTGTCCTAATTCAGCAATTATAAATAAACAATGGTTAAATAATGGTCAATAAAATACAAATAAATAAAGAAACAAATAAAAGAATGAATAAATTATAGGCTCTTTTGTGGTATAAAGTATTACCAAATTTTCAGATGCGCTACTTTACCTGATCTCTAAATCTTTTTTTACTGGTAATTTCTGCTATATTTTATACAAAGGTTAATATCTGGAATTTCTGGTATTATTTCTGCAAAAAAGACTCACATCTCCACAAACCTGACTCTTCTATGACCTGGAAGAGCCTCTCCCTGTTGGTTTTTAAGGAAATGTTGTGTTTTTTTTGGCTAGAATGTTCCACAGTACAGAGGTGGACCTGAGTCACTATTTTTAGGACTTGAGACTTGACTTGATAAATTGGACTAAGACTTGGGACTCGACTTGGACTTGGACTTGAAGGTCAGTGACTTGGGACTTGACTCGGACTTGAGAAGACTTGAGAAGCACTTTTAAATCTGAATTATTACCTCCGCCAAGGAGGTTATGTTTTTGCCGGCGTTTGTTGTTTGTTTGTTTGTTTGTTTGTCTGTTAGAAGTTAAAAGTTATGGACCGATTTTGATGAAATTTTCAGGATTTGTTGGAAATCTGAAAAGGAAGAACTGATTTCATTTTGGGGGTGATCCGGAAGAAATCCTGGATTCTGGATCACTTTGAAATTTTAGTTAACATTGTGGTAAATGGGGCCAAAAATTTAGTTTCTCAATATCTCGGTTAATTATTGACCAAACCCCATGAAATTTGACTCAGGGATGGACAATGGGATCCTCTTTCATATTCCAAAGGCTGATCCGGATCTGATCCAGAAGACTGATTTTATCGCAATTTATATAAAAAATGGGGGTAGTCCTTGGCGGAGGTCTGCGCTCTCTGAGTGCTTTTCGAGTTACATAATACAAGTAAGTTTGAAGCCTTAATGTGGAACATTTTAGGAAAAGCAGGTAGAAAATGTACATAAAAAGGACCATACATACAAAAAAAAGTAATAGATGGAGCAGAAGCCACTATTCTGATATCATTTATACTTATGGTACATTTATTATAATCCAGAAAGTACCAGACCTTCCTCTAGAAAAGTTCCGCATTGCACCTTTAACTTACAGGCAGCTTATTCCTCTCCTTAAAAATAAATAACACTTTTTAAACTTCATCTTAAACTGTAAATTGCGTGGTTGTAAATGTTTTCATAGTAGAAGGAAGAAGAATGAAACCAGGATTCATTCTCAAAGTCTCGTGTTGTTTTTTTGCGGACGACAAATGCTGCGGAGTGATTCATTGTTCCTCTTTTGTTTGTCCAGACGCCAGAGCATTGCCAAGACACCCAAAACTAAACGAAAATACTGTCTCAATTTCATGCACTCCAAAAGAAGGCACGGCTCGGCTTTATTTGCGCTGAAAAATGCTGCGGTGGATTTTCGGGGCACTGTTCAGGAGGAGAGTTTCTAAAATTTCACCTGGAGGAAAAGGCTTCAGACTTGATGCGGGTTTTGATTCCAGTGATACTAAAACACTTTTTTTTTAGACCACAAAAGGTAATTTTAAAGCAGATGTGTGATGCAAAGCTGACCTCTGCGTGTTGCCATGGAGATGTGTTTGCTTTGCTTGGAATTTTCCATAGTATGTATTAAACTTCTGTATCTCCATGGACGCCAGGTCAGGTTACAGGTAACATCTGTGGAAAGGTGACCCCGCCCACAGTAAAGCAACACAAAACAAACTAACTATGAGCAAGTAGTGAAGATTAATCAGCAGGTGGCCGTGAGTTATGTTATTAGGTTCTTTTTTCAGATGAAAGTTTGAGAGTGTGAGTCTGACAGTTTCGATTACTCATTAGTGGTCTTCCTCAGAGTCACTTGGTGTTGCTGTGACGTGTCTGGTCAGCTGATTTAAACAGGTTTTGGCGCTGTCTTCCTACAGGTGGAGGCAAGACGACGGCGCCATCTGCAGTCCGACTTCCTCAGGACAGTATCCCAGGTGTGCGAGAGTAAAAAAAGCCCCCTCGTCCCGGTTTATCGTCCCGTGGGCACGTTTCCATATTTCGATTGCCTCTTTAATCCTTTACTCTCACACACCTGGGATACTGTCCTGAGGAAGTCGGACTGCAGATGGCGCTGTTGTCCTGTCTCCTCCGGTAGGAAGACGGTGCCAAAACCTGTTTAAATCAACTGAGCGACATGTCACATCAACATCATGTGACTCAGGTGACGTGAACTGCCAGGTATGAAAACAAACTCTTGGTCTGAAAAAAGAACCCAACTAGAAAAGCACTCAGAGAGCGCAGACCTCCGCCAAGGACTACCCCCATTTTTTATATAAATTGCGATAAAATCAGTCTTCTGGATCAGATCCGGATCAGCCTTTGGAATATGAAAGAGGATCCCATTGTCCATCCCTGAGTCAAATTTCATGGGGTTTGGTCAATAATTAACCGAGATATTGAGAAACAAAATTTTTGGCCCCATTTACCACAATGTTAACTAAAATTTCAAAGTGATCCAGAATCCAGGATTTCTTCCGGATCACCCCCAAAATGAAATCAGTTCTTCCTTTTCAGATTTCCAACAAATCCTGAAAATTTCATCAAAATCGGTCCATAACGTTTTGAGTTATGTTGCTAACAGACAAACAAACAAACGCCAGCAAAATCATAACCTCCTTGGCGGAGGTAATAACATAAAATATTGGAAGACCAAATGAACCTCATTGGACTATAGACAATGACTGTGGAGCGTTATTGCTTTGCCTGTAATGTCCCACAATATAGCATTAAACTAATCTGCCTTGCGTTCATTTCATAACAGCTGATTGCTCGCACATCCCTTAAAAAATGCATTCTTACTGTGAGAGGGCCGCATTTTTCATTTTTTGGAGTGCATGGTGACCCTCTTGTTTATTATTTTGTTTGTTCTTTTCTTAATTCAAATAAAATCATGAAAATATACGTCCTGCTCTAAAGGTGCACTATGTAACTTCTCTGGTGGACCGCTCGCCTCTCCACAGACCTGACTTGTAACTTGCTTTGTAACTCCATATTCTTTACTTCCGGTTATATCTCATATGTTTTTAACATGAGCCAAAAAAATAACAAAACTAAAGATCTTACTTTAAATGTGCACTATGTAACTTCTCTGTTGGACCGCTCGCCTCTACACAGATCTGACCTGTAACTTGCATTGTAACTGTTTCTAATGTGATCCAAATAATTAACAAACTAGTCGTCCTAATTTGAATGCGTACTCTGTAACTTCGCTGGTGGACCTCTCGCCTCTCCGCAGATCTGACCTGTAACTGAACACTCCTTGCTCAATACCTGCTTTGTGTGTTTTCGTTGCAGGAATCATCAGGACGGCGTTGGCGAACATGGACCGCGAGGCTCGGGAGCACTACAGCGTGGTGATCCAGGCCAAAGACATGGCGGGCCAGGTCGGAGGTCTCTCTGGGTCCACCACCGTCAACATCACGCTCACCGACGTCAACGACAACCCGCCCAAGTTCCCCCAAAGTACGACCCCGAACGCATGCTTTCCATACATCGAAAAGATCATGATTTATTTAGTAACTACTCAATTAGAGGCCCCATGTTACTGCGCTAATTTGTGAAGTTATAATGTTGAGACTGAGTTCTTCTCTCAAACTGAAAATATTGTTGTCATGTAGTAATACGGGAAGTTCTCTACTGCGTTTTTAAACTCCACGCACCTTCACTAGAAACATTTGGATCGTTTCAGTCCTGGCAGTGGCGGTTTCAGGATTTTTCTGAAACAGGGGCCATTAAGGGTCCACGTGTTACATTCAGGGGCCAAGTACAGGGATCATCTAAGCGCACAAATGATTCATTCAGTGCAGTGCAAATACAAACAGACACAGTTAAAAAAAAAAAAAAAAAAAAAAAAAGCCCTCCACAGATTTGTTTCTTCTCAGGGGTGTCCAAACTTTTTTCATCAAAGGCCACGTATCTAAACACAGACGAGCTGAGAACTGATCCAAGGCCGTGGACTGGTGCTCAGTACAGTGAATAATTGAAATATGTGCATGTGCAGAATGAGCCATCAGTCTTTATTCATGCCAAGATCCTTAAAACCACACACGAAATATTAATTATTCGCTTTATCAAGGTAGATTTTCCCAAAAAAACTTGGAGTAAAAAGTTTATTTTTAATTGATGCAAGGTCATTTGGGTCTATTCACCTGAAAACTACACTATACTTATACTTTTATACTTATACATATTCTATAGTTTGGACATGCCTGTATTAAGTTCTATTGACGCAATAGGTCCACTAAGAGTTTGGGGTGGAATTGCATCAGTGATCATTGAATTCTCCAGTTTGTTTTTCTCGTCAGTTGATTGACAGAACAGGGGCACTTCAGGGGCCAATCAGATTAGACGTGGGGCCAGGGTCCCTGTGGCCCCTCCCCCAGAACCTCCCCTGAGCCCTTGAATTGCCAATTTGTACTAAACTAAAGCTAAAGGGCAGATGTTAACTTGAAAACTACTGCTTCATGACATCACAAGGTGGAGCAGAGCATTTTGAGTTTTGGAGATATTGACAGACTGATAATAAAGAGTTATTCTAACATGTGTGAATGAAACAAAACACTACTCCAGGTCTGTTTTTGATGAGGTCACAACATTATACCATGACTAAAAGCTCATAAGAGTCAGTTTTATGTAATATAGGACCTTTAATACATAGAAAATATTATGATTTATTAGTTTTAGTTTTTTTAATACTTTGTTTATACCACTAAATAATCTAAATATAATATGAAAAAAGGTTTAATTAGCTAAAACAAAGAATGAAGAAAGACTAAATTCATGATTCAGACTTAGTAACTGCTTAATAAACATATCCTAATGTTTAATTAAAGGCCCAGTGTGTAACTTTTCTGGAGGTGGTACGTCACCTGCACGGTTCCATGGAAACATTAAGTTAAAACAGTACTTCAGAACATTTTCCAAGAGGACAGACAAGTTTTATGCCAAACTGTAGGAGCCAGAGAACCACGTTACTATAGAAACAAGCGAGAAGAGGCACTTCAGGTCAAGTAAGAGCCAGGTCTGTGGAGATGGACACAGTAAGGACACTTGTGTTTCTAATCTTGTCAGTGAAAAAACAGTCAGAATACAAAAATATGCTTGTATTTTAGTCTTTATTTATTTTTTGGCTAAAAAGTTACACACTGCTTCTTTAACACCATAACCCCTTATTTAGGTATTTATGTAGTTACTAAGTCTGGATAGTGACAGAGTAAAGGGCCGATCAGACACCCTAGACGCCTCTATTTGGACGCAGTGGACGAACGGGAGAAAAATACTTGACGCCATTGCCCTGGAAACAAGTGCCCGGTCTTTTCCCGAAACAATGGTAGACCAGACTGAGAGACTTTAGTGTTTTTATTACATAAAACAGCGAATGAGATCGACTCGACTGCGGCGTATATATATGTATATTCCACTTGACACTGGTCCAGTCCTGGTTTAGTCCCGGTCTAGTCCCGGTCTAGTCCCGGTCTAGTCCTGGTTTAGTCCTGGTCTAATCCCAGTCTAGTCCCGGTCTAGTCCTGGTTTAGTCCTGGTCTAATCCCAGTCTAGTCCCGGTCTCGTCCTGGTTTAGTCCCGGTCTAGTCCTGGTTTAGTCCCGGTCTAGTCCTGGTCTAGTCCCGGTCTAGTCCAGTCTAGTCCCGGTTTAGTCTGGTCTAGTCCCGGTCTAGTCCTGGTTTCGTCCCGGTTTAATCCCAGTCTAGTCCCGGTCTAGTCCTGGTTTAGTCCCGGTCTAGTCCCGTCTAGTCTCGGTCTAGTCCCGGTTTAGTCCTGGTTAGTCCCAGTCCCGGTCTACTCCCGGTCCTAGTCCCATTTAGTCCTGGTCTAGTCCCGGTCTAGTCCTGGTTTAGTCCCGGTCTAGTCCTGGTTAATCCTTGTCTAGTCCCGGTCTAGTCCGGTCTAGTCCGGTCTAGTCCGGTCTAGTCGGTCTAATAGTCCCGGTCTGTCCGGTCTAGTCCTGGTTTAGTCCCGGTCTAGTCCCGGTCTAGTCCCGGTCTAGTCCCGATTTAGTCCTTGTCTAGTCCCGGTCTAGTCCTGGTTTCGTCCCGGTTTAATCCCAGTCTAGTCCCGGTCTAGTCCCAGTCTAGTCCCGGTCTAGTCCCGATTTAGTCCTTGTCTAGTCCCGGTCTAGTACTTGTTTCGTCCCGGTTTAATCCCAGTCTAGTCCTGGTCTAGTCCGGTCTAGTCCCGGTCTAGTCCCGGTTTAGTCCCGGTGTCCTGGTTAGTCCCGGTCTAGTCCCGATTTAGTCCTTGTCTAGTCCCGGTCTAGTCCTGGTTTTCGTCCCGGTTTAATCCCAGTCTAGTCCCGGTTAGTCCGGTCTAGTCCCGGTTAGTCCCGTCCTGGTCTAGTCCCGGTCTAGTACTGGTTTCGTCCCGGTTTAGTCCCAGTCTAGTCCTGGTCTAGTCCCGGTCTAGTCCTGGTTTAGTTCAGCATTTTCAGCTGCTGACGCCGATGCCTTAGATACACGTCTAGAGACGCTCAAGACGCGCCGTGTTCACGTCAGATTCGCGCCGCTCCCCAGACGCACGTCCACATAAACTTTACGTATAAACTGGACGCTTTGACCTCCTAATTCACAGACAATTCGGCGCTTTAAAATAAAAATGCAGCCAGAACTCCGCAGTCTAATATTCAGTCTAAGAGCTGCTTTTACAATATATCCCTAAAACTGTTTTTTAATTTATACTTACAGCCCATTTAAGGTAGTTCAAGCATTTTTTCTGCATTTTGAGCAGATAAACATTGCATTTTTGAAAACTCCAATCACACTTATGTTTACGATTCCCTTTTATTATGCATATTTTACTTGGTGATCACATTCAGAAGGCACAAACTTTTAATAACTTACTAAAAGTGCTCCAAAGTGTGGCATTTTTACAGCTAATATTCCCTTCTGGCAGTTTGGTGATGGATCTCATTTTGAAAGCCGCAATGTTTTATATCAATCTTGGTTTAATACAGATTTTCAGATTTCCTCAGAACTCTTGGCAAAGGAAAAGTCATTACCGCAGGATCTAAACCAAAAAAAAAAAAAAACTGCTCAAGTTTTAATCATGGACTTAACCGAGAGAAAACCAGGACCAGGCCAGGATCAAATCAGGAATAATCAAAGAAACAGGTCGAACTCAAAACTGGGAATGACTTCGACTTAGACAAACTTTATTGATCCACAAGGGAAATGATTTGGACACAGGAGCTCAAGCATCGCAAAATATTATAATAACAAAGAGAAAAAATATAAAGCTACAACTTAAATGTCAAAACAGAGCAATTGGCAATGATGAAAACAAACTGTAAAGGTTCATGTTATCTGCACTGTCCTATAGTGACCTGAGACATGAAGGACCAGGACTGAACCAGGACTAAACCAGGACTGAACCAGGACTGAACCAGGACTAAACCAGGACTAAACCAGGACTGAACCAGGACTGAACCAGGACTGAACCAGGACTGAACCAGGATTAAAACAGAACAAAAACAGGACTGAACCAGGACTAAAACAGGACTAAACCAGGACTGAACCAGGACTAAACCGAGTCTAAAACAGGATTAAAACAGGACTAAACCAGGACTGAACCAGGACTAAAACAGGACTAAACCAGGACTGAACCAGGACTAAACCGAGTCTAAAACAGGATTAAAACAGGACTAAACCAGGACTGAACCAGGACTGAACCAGGACTAAAACAGGACTAAACCAGGACTGAACCAGGACTAAACCGAGTCTAAAACAGGATTAAAACAGGACTAAACCAGGACTAATACAGGTATAAACAAGGTCTAAACCAGAATTAAACCAGGACTGAACCAGAACTAAACAAGGATTGAACCAGGACGAAAACCATCACTAAACCAGAACTAAATCAGGACTGAACCAGGTCTAAACCAGAACTAAACCAGGTCTAAACCAGGACAGAACCAGAACCAGGACTAAACCAGGACTGAACCAGGACTGAGTGTTCGGATGTGCCTGTGTAGACCGTCGGGTGACCGCAGGAGAAAGGACCGGCACAGAGTTCCAGCTGTCGCCCCTTCGCGCTTTGCGGACACTCTGCTCCTCAGACTCGGGGTTCTCCCTCTCTCTCAAGTCCAAAATTAGTCCTGGTTTAGTCCTAGTTTAGTCCTGGTTTAATCCTGGTTTAGTCCTGGTTCAGTCCTTGTTTATTTCTGGTTCAGTTCTTTTTTAGTCTTGGTTTAGACCTGGTTTAGTCCTGGTTCTGTCCTGGTTTAGTTGTGGTTTAGTCCTGGTTTAGTTCTGGTTTAGACCTGGTTCAGTCCTGATTTAGTCCTAGTTTAGTCCTGGTTTAATCCTGGTTTAGTCCTGGTTCAGTCCTTGTTTATTTCTGGTTCAGTTCTGGTTTAGTCCTGGTTTAGTCCTGGTTTAGACCTGGTTCAGTCCTGATTTAGTCCTAGTTTAGTCCTGGTTTAGACCTGGTTTAGTCCTGGTTCTGGTTCT